GGAGTTGTAACTAAAAGCATCTTGAGAGCAGCAGATTGAGGATGGCTAGTCTAGATCACTTCCAAGAAGCTCTCTGAAACTTAATATATTTCAAACTCCTGATGGCTCTATGTGCACTGTTTGTTTGTTTTCAGAATTAAAGTTGGCACTTGCTTTGAGTGTAGTTCTAAAACTTTTTTGTTTTTGAAATGTTGGTGTGTTTGCTGCCCCGAGATCTTTCAGGAGGAAGCGCAGGAGATAAATTCAGTTAAGAATAAAAAGGTTTACCTTTTAGAGTAATGAGTGTGAATAGCCTGTCCTTGGGTAAGTTAGTCCCTGTTGGTGTTCTGTGTGTATTTCTGCATCAGGAATGGTTGGCGCATTTTGTTGCTCCTTATAGAGAAATGCCTTGGAATTGCCTGCGCTCAGTGGATTTGGTCTGAAAGAAGGCAAGGTGAAAACAGTGACGCCTGCACCAAGCAGCCTCCCCTCACGAGAGGCTTTCCGTATTTCATTCATTTAGTTATTGTATCCACAGCCATCTCCCCTTTGAAATGTTCACCAGTTTGCTAAGCATGAAATGTGAACCTTTGCACTCTCTCCTCTTCCCCTTTCTTGCAGGAGGTGGAGCGCAACCTCCAGGATGCCATGCAGGTCTGTCGGAATGTCCTGATTGATGCTCAGCTGGTGCCAGGAGGTGGTGCTTCTGAGATGGCCGTTGCTCATTCCTTGACAGAGAGGTCGAAGGTCATGACTGGGGTGGAGCAGTGGCCCTACCGTGCAGTTGCCCAGGCCCTAGAAGTCATTCCCAGGACCCTGATTCAGAACTGTGGCGCTAGTACCATCCGCACACTCACTTCACTACGGGTAAGGGATGTGTTTGCTGTTGCTACTGTTCTGCTCTGATTCCTCTCCTTTTGTCCTTGCAGCTAATAGCTGAAGATTGTCAAAAGCAAGAATTGTGCTAGGTGCTCTGTGCAGAGTAGAAATGATACTGTCTGCTCAGAGGCCCTAGAAATCATTCCAGACATATTGAGAGCTCTAAACCTCAAATGTTAAATCAGCTGGGAGTGAGCGTAAGCTGAATAGATGGGAGTCTTTTAGGAATGGTCACAGGGCTGCTTCATGACCTTTGGAACTACTTGCTTTTCAGAAGTGTGGTATGGGGGGTGCAACTGGATTGCTCAGTTGAATCAGTAAGTAGAAATCGGGCAATTCTGATATTGCATTGCATCAGGACTTTCTATTGTTGCTTACAGGCCAAGCACACCCAGGAAGGCAGTCAGACCTGGGGAGTAAATGGGGAGACTGGAGCCTTGGCAGACATGAAGGAGCTGGGTATATGGGAGCCTTTGTCTGTCAAGCTGCAGACCTACAAGACAGCTGTAGAGGTAAGAGAAACCACAAGCCTGATTCCATGGAAGCCAAAAGTTTTCACTACCCTGCCAAAAGAGGTCTGTGGCAAGAAGTGGGTGTAAAGTCTGCCTTGTTCATTGCAAGTGAAATTTATATTCCAAAGTTCTATTCTGGGAGAATGCTTTCTTCTCTCTGCAGTCTGCTGCTATGTGCCATGTTCATACAAGAGCACTGAAAGAATTCTTACTGGCTGCCCCACAACTTTGCTTCTCTTGCTTCTCTAAGCCTGTTGATCAGGCACAGGGAACCTGTAGCCCTTCAGACTACATACAACTCACATAATGCCTGAGTGTTGGCCATGCTGGCTGTTGGGAGCTGGAGGCCAACAATATCTGCGAGGCCAACGGGTTATTCAGCCATGTTGTACATCTCTGGAAAACCCTTTTATATATTTTGGGTTAAGTTTGATAATGAGAGTGAAAAGACAGCCTAATTTGCTAGTCTGACTTTCTTGACTGCATTATATTTTTAGTTTAGCTGCCCATCTCTTTAATCTCATATCTCCACCTGTCTTAGGACATGCTGTAATCTATAAAATATACCATATTGGCACAAATATAAGATGCACCCGCAAATAAGCCGCACCTTTAAAATTGAAGGGGGAGGAGAAAAATATATATAACCAGGCTGCTTCGGGGGAGGGGAGCCAGGCTGCTTTGCTGGCGGCCTTTCCACCTTCCCCCTTCCTTAGGTGGCTCAGGGAAGGCTTGGGAGCAGCAGGCAGGTTGAGCGTGGCTGCTATGCGCTCCCGGCTGTTCTCGGGGGGGGGGGAGCCGCACCACTTTGCCGGCGGTCTCCCCCCCTTCCCCTGGCGGAGGCTTGGGAGGAGTGGGTGGGCTGCACGCCGTTGACCCATGCTCCTGGCTACACTCTGGGGGGAGGAGAGCCCCGTCACTTTGCCAGCAGCCTTCTCCCCAATGGCCAGGGAAGGTTTGGGAGCAGTGGGCGGTACGCCACATAAAGTCACAAATATAAGCCGCACTTATATTCTGCATGGGTGGAATTGGGGTGGGGGGGGGAGTGTGGCTTATATTCAGGCTAATACGGTAAAAACTGTTCTAATTGATGCTTGTGAAGTGGGTGGAAAAAATGAATGGTGATCATCCAGTTATATGTTGGTATTGGGCACACCAAGCAGAAAGTCTAGGATTAAATAGGGCATTTGGATAGAATCTGAGCTCCAATGAAATTCCTGGAGCCAACATTGTACTAGGTTTAAAGTTCTATGTTTCAGATGCCGCAAACGTATTTAAAGTACAGACACAGATGCCGCAAACGTATTTAAAGTACAGATGCCGCAAACGTATTTAAAGTACAGACACACACAAATCCTGGGGGCTGTAGTTTTCCCCTCAGAGCTACAATTCCCAGTGCCCCTTGTCAAGCTACAGTTCACAGGATTCTTTGGGGGCAGTGCTTTAAATGTATGGTGTGTATACAGCCATAGTATAAAGACCAGTTGGCAACTTGTGTTATCTTACAAATCACAGGAGTATAGGATGGGAATTCTGCCTCTCCCAAGATTATTGTTCTTACTGACAAAATGTTTTCTCCACCTTAGACTGCCGTCCTCCTCCTGCGTATTGATGACATTGTTTCGGGCCATAAGAAGAAAGGAGACGATCAAAGCCAGCAGCAGCCAGGAGCCCCAGATGGACCCCAAGAGTAACTTTGTGGAGTTTGGAAAGCTATAGGGAAAGCCATGCGCTGGGATAGCTGAACATGGAAACCACCTGGATTGATTTTGAGTGCTGCTTTTCTTCTCTCTCCCCTCCCCCACCTGGGTTCAAGGGCAGTCAGTGTCCAAATACCAATTTGTTTCAAGCTTGAAGCGGAGAGGAAAAAGGAAGGCCAATGATGCGTTGATTACCCCCATTCTGTTAAGGAGACACTGACGCTTTATTTAAACGTATACTGTAGCTTCTTTGTGGCTTTATTAATAAAAATGTCACCACATTCATAGATCAATTTTCTTTGTCACTTCTTCCTGTCCATAGCTGTAATGAGACTTCTTTGTGGTGTGGTCTCAAATCCGGCTGCTTTGGAGCAGTTTCACACTTTGTGCACCAGCATAGCTAGGCTTGCCTTGGGCAAGGGCTACAGCCATACTCTTCTGTCTTGTGCATGTATCTTAAGCACTTGATTGATACACTGAAATATTTTTGAAATGTCCATTTTTCCTCCCCTAAGGGAACTCCAAACAGTTAACATCAAGCAATATTAATACTTGATGTCATATCAAAGGTATGATGAAACCATTACAGAACTGGTAAGCAGAACAGAGTGCCAGTTTAGTTTTCCCCAGTTTAGCACAACTTAAACAAGCCAGGTCTTCACCAGCCACCAGAAGGCATATAGTGAGGTGGTCATATGAGAGGGCACTCCACAGTGCTGGCCCCACAATCATAGAGACCCTGTTCTTCATGCAACATACAAAAACTACTGGACATAAAACTGTTACCAAATGCGTTTTGACCCCCAAGTGTTCCTTAGTGGTCCTAATTGCATATATATACCTACATCCAGTTTGGCGTGAACTTCAGATGTTGGGAAACAATGTACAAACATCCCAGAAACCAATTGGTAGCCACTACAGTCAGCCCAGGATCAGTATAATATGCTCAAACTGTCTTGCCCCTGGAGAGCAATCTGGGCACTGAATTCTGCACTTGCTGAAGTTTCCAAACTCTTCAGAGGCATACCATGTAAAAACCATATAAACAAGTTTAAAACACATCATGTACTCTTAATTACCCGTATAGGCCTGGCGGAATAGAAAACTTCAAAGGCATTTAAAAGTTGAAACACAAGGTGCCTGCTGCATCTTCATTGATGAGTATCCCACAATACTAGGCTGATAAAATTAAAGGCTGTTTCTTCTTTGCAAATGAGCCTCACCAACTTAGGGAATGGCCAGTGATGCACCTGCTGATGATCTCTGATGGAGCTGGGGTATATATAAGGTAACCTAGACCTAAGTTCAGGACTTTGTAAACTAATCTGGCTTGGTAGAAGATAGGCAGCCAGACAAAGATACCCCATGTTCTTGGCCAGATGCCCCCACCAGCAGTCTGGCACCAGCTGCAGCTTCTGAACTAGACCCAAGGGCAGCCCCACATCAAGCACATTACAAGTAGTCCAGCCTTGAAGTGACCAATGCATGGAATACAGTGATCAGGCTATCCCTGCCCAGGAACAGCTCTAGCTGAGAACCTGGCAAAGCCATCCAAGTTGGTGGCCACTGCCTCCAGTGGGAGCAACCTCCATAGCTTGTGAACTATGTGAAGGACTTTATTTTACATATAAAGTGTTGCTTCCAGCAGAATACAGAAAAGACAGGGGGGAAAGAGGCTTTTGGGGGAGGCATTTGGTTAGCCATTGTGAGGCCAGGATGTGGGACAGATGGCCCTTTGAACATGCACCATGGCACTGTTATTCTGGTCCACAAGCCTCCGTGCTTTTCCTTCTGCTGCAAGAATCCGGGTTCCGTTCCATTCTCCCCCAAGAAAAGAAACCCAGCAAGCCGACTCCTCCACGCAGCGGCCCCTTTAAGAGCCTCCTCCCTTTTTAAGAATGAACCGGAATGATCAGCTGCAGGCGTCACGTGGTCTTGCAGCCCAGGCAGTTGGAGGAGCGACATGCTGGCAGGCGGCGGCGGCTGGGTCTGGCTGCCCCTCCTGTGGCTGGTGGGGAGCCGGGCAGGGGATCCCGCCGGGTATAAGAGGAAGGTAGGACGGCCCAGGGGCCGGTGGGTGGATGCCCTCCTTGGAGGAGATTTATTTCTAAGGGATGTTTGAGGGCTGGGTGAGGTCAGCCGCTGCCAGCCTGGGCTGGCTCATGGTGGCTGGGGCTGATGGGAGCTGTAGTCCAAAACATCTGGTGTAGGGGCAGGTTGGCAAAGGCTAGGAGCCTCGGGAACTGCCTTATGCAGAGTCAGAGCATTGGTTAATCTAGCTTGGTGTTGCCAGCACTGACTGGCAGCAGCAGCTCTCCTGGGTTCTGACCAGGGGACACTCCCAGCCCTACCTGCCTTATACTGACTCAGACCATGCTCTATCTAGCTCAGTATTGTCTACACTGACTGGCAGCCATGGTTCTCCAGGATTTGTTGCAGGAAGTCTATTCCATCCCTACCTGGAGATGATGTTGGGGATTGAACTTAGGAGCTTTTAACATACAACCCAGGTGCTCTCCCACTGAGCTGTAGCTCCTTCTAGTATCATGGGAAGTTGCCTTATACCAAGTCCGACCATTGGTCCATCTAGCTCAGTATTGCATGCACCGGTTGGCAGTGGCATTCCGGGGTTTCAGGCAAGGATTCTATTCCAACCCTACCTGGAGATGCTATTGGGGATCGTACCTGGGATTTTCTGCATGCAAAGCAAATGCTCTCCAGCCTTTCTCAACCTGTGGGTCCCCGGATGTTGTTGAACTACAACTCCCATCACCCCTAGCTAGCAAGGCCAGAGCTCAGGGATGATGGGAGTAGTAGTCCAACAACATCTGGAGACCCACAGGTTGAGAACCGCTGCGAGTCTACCCACTGAGGTGCAGATGACCCTGATAAATGTTCTGTACCCCGAGAATGGGGTGTCCCTGTGGTCGCTCAGGTGTTGTTGGGCTCCATCGCCCATCCGCCTGGCAATGTAGTTCAGCAACACCTGAAGCTTTATTTTTACATGATAATTTACACTTATTATATTTTATTTTTTCTGTTACGCTTGTTGAAGGAAAGGAAAGTGGGGGGCAGGAGAGAGAACGACCAGTGAAGATGAGAAAAACAGGAAGAGAGAGGAAAACTGTGCTGTGTTGTGGGTGGATTTTAGGACTAGGGGATTTCCATGTGGGTTTCAACCATTTCAAAGACTAATCCCAACTTTGAATCTTGTTCTGCCAAATGGGAGCCAGTTGTTGTTTTTTAACCACTGTGTTTTTTTATGAGTTCCAAATCCTTGCTCCGTCATAAAGCCCTGCAAGATTCCTCTTGGGGGTAGTCACCATTTCTGTTTTATATTTTAATCCTCCTTCCTCTCAGTTGCTCAGGAAGGCATGGTTTCCCCTCTGTGTTATCCTCACAGCATCCGTGTAAGGTAGGGCAAGGCAGAATTTAAGTGCCTGGGCCACAGAGGTCACCCAGTGAGCTTCATGGCTCAGTGGGGATTTGAACCCGTAGCCTGACACTCAGTCCACTAAACAAGTCCACCTCTTAGCCTGGCCCACCTCGTAAGGTTGTTGTGAGGGTGAGATGGAAGCAGAGCCATCTGCCACCTTGAGCTTCCTGGGAGGAAGTGTGGGGTTAAAATACAAAAAAAAGGATGCATGTGCATGTTTTTAAAATGGCAGATCCAATCTTGTAAGCTGGGATTCACAACTAAACCAAGACTCTGAGCTTTCTGAAGACAGTGTGTTCCTGCGTTGTCTGATTTTTGCCTCCCAAAAATCTTGCGCCAGGGCCAAATCTGACTCCTGGGAATCTCAGCTTGTTCCTCTGATCTCTGGATGGGGCACCAGTGTGTTAGACTTCTCTGGTGCCCTGTTTTTTATACTGAGGGTGAGGAGATCAACAGGGGTCCCAAGCAGGAGTTTCAGACTCTCAAATCCTGCCTTTGGCCTGTGAAAAATATGTAGGTGTGCATTGGTATTCCCTGCTTAGAAGCCAGTTCAGGAGTCTGTAGGGATTTTTCTCCTGGTGAGACACTACCACCAAGTTGCAAAGTTAGGGAATCAAATCTGTTCATTTCCTGTCAGTGTTTGGGGGTGTAATAAAACCCACATTCCAACCTCATTGCCTGCTTTCCCACTCTAAGCTGCTTGGGCTGAGGCAAATTACAGGTATGTTTGTGTTAAAAAAAAATACTTTTTTATTGATGTTTTTAAAACCAAGGCCCAAAATGCACTGCACTAAAAATACAAGGAAGGAAAATGGTGATCTTCCCTTAGTTCCACAATCACTTTTGGTTTCACAGTACATTAATATTTTTTAAAATAGAGATTTGTCCTTATTTGCTGGGCTAACAGTGCCTCAGAAAGAAGAGTAATAAACCCTGTCCTGGACTGCCTTTCTCAATATGGTTAGAAGTTCTTTTCTTTAACTTCTAAAAGTTGTCAACCCTAGAATAAGTTTTTAGTGAGCTGATAAGTAAGGCAAGTATTAATTGCTTTTCAGTTATGTAATACTTTCAGTTTGTTCTTTTTTTTACAGTGGGAATTAGATATGCTGATCTGGTCATATTTCAGTGTTTTGAAATGGCCATTGCCAGCCAGCTGCCCTCCAGTTGTTTTGACAAAGGCAGGAGGGATTTGCAATTCAAAACTTCTAGATCCTAAGTTGGCATTGGATTGTAGTTTCCTTTGAAAATAAACTAAATGAAGCTCAAAACACTCTCTTCTCTGACAGTTCTCTACACCTTGGGAGGGATTTTTGCGTGCCCTCTATCCCCACCCAGCACTGGCGTGAGTCTCCCAGAAGATTGCCCAGATGTTGAGTGTTGGACTAAAACCCTGGGCAAGACCAGGATTCGAATCCGCACGCAGCTATGAAGCTCATTAGGTGACCTTGGGCCAGTCACTGCTTCTCTCAACCTAACCTACCTCACAGGGTTGTTGTGCGGATAAAAATGGGGAGGAGGAGAGGACAATGTATGCCATTTCCTACTCCTTGGAAGAAAGAAGGTGGGATGCAATAAATAAATAAGTGAAACACTCTTAGGCCACAGGTAATGAAAAGCCCATAAGGGACCACAGAGCCTAGGACTTTCCGATCAGAAGGTCAGCGGTTCGAATCCCCGCGACGGGGTGAGCTCCCGTTGCTCGGTCCCTGCTCCTGCCAACCTAGCAGTTCGAAAGCACGTCAAAGTGCAAGTAGATAAATAGGTACCACTCCGGTGGGAAGGTAAAACGCTGTTTCCGTATGCTGCTCTGGTTAGCCAGAAGTGGCTCAGTCATGCTGGCCACATGACCCGGAAGCTGTATGCCGGCTCCCTCGGCCAATAGAGCGAGATGAGCGCTGCAACCCCAGAGTCGCCTGCGACTGGACCTAACGGCCAGGGGTCCCTTTACCCTTTACCTAATGAAAAGCCCAAGGCCTGGCAAATAAGAAGTGTTTATGCCTGGTGCCTAAAGATACGTAATGACGACTTTGCCCGGCGTTTGTGAAGCAGATTTAACACCCTGGTGGGGACGCCCATTTCCAGGTCTCCCTGGAGTATAACCCGGGCTGGAACAGCTCTGCCGTGAACCTCCTGCACGTCCGGGCGGTGGGTCTCAACGACACCATCCATTATGTTTGGAGTACCATCGGGGCACCCACTGTGTTGCTGGTCTACACAAGAAGCCAGAGCAGTGGTCTCCACGTCAACTGGACCCAGCTCCTCTCCCCCTCGCCCTCCGGAGCCATCCAGGTCGAGCCAGCTGGAAGCGTTTTGTATTCCATGGCTGTCATCTTTTCCAAGGTAAGCTTGGGGGGCTGCAGAGTCTGAAATGAAGGCAGGAGGTGGTGTGTGGGGTCATCCAAGTGGGGTGGAACGAGAATGGCAGCAGTGGGGAGAAAAGGGGTGTGAATATAGCTGCTCCAGGACGTTGGGCATCATCTGGCTAGCCACTATGAGAACACGGTGCTGGGCTAGATGGGGCCTACTTTGGCCTAATCCAGCTGGGCTCATCCTACATTAACACGGATGTTTCTAGGTGTTTGAGTACAACGGCACAAAGACCTCGGATCTCTCCAAAGCTAATGCAAGCAGCTTCTACCCCACCTATGATTTGGCCAACTTCACCTGGGACAGCCTTGATGGCCGGCTGAACGAGACTACTTTGACAGCGACATTTCAGGGGGTTGGCCCCGACTCTGGAGGAACTTTCCGGAATGGAAGCATCTCCTTCCAGGTAAAAAAGGGGCGTGGCTTCCCCTCTGACAGGTCAGAGAGCCAGTTGCTGCGTGTTGTCATGACAGGCTGTTGCAAATCATGCCATGTATCTAATCAGTGATGCAAGGTGGAATTTTTCTCTCTTTGACAATGGATGGGTGTCAGTTGCAAATAAATATAAGGCGGCTTCGTTGTTGTTTTTTTCAAACTTGGTTCGCTAGATGCAAGTCAAATAAACATGCTAAATTACATCACTTTTTCGGGAGGGCATGGGGAACATCTGTGGCTGCGCATAGTTAAACTATGGCACTCGCTGCCACGGGAGTCAGGGATGGTCACCAATTTGGATGGCTTTGAAAGAGGATTTGACAGATTCATGGAGGAGAAAGCTATCAATGGCTACTAGCCGTAATGACTATAGTCTGTCTCCATACTTGGAGGCAGCAAAGCTTATGAATACTAGCTATGGAAACCACAGGAGTGGAGAAGGCTCTTGTGCTCAGGTGCTGCTTTTGGGTTTCCCACAATAATAATTTGTTACTTATACCCCGCCCATCTGGCCAGGCCTCTCCAGCCATAATGGGCATCTGGTTGGCCACTGTGGGAACAGGATGCTGGACTAGATGGGCCACTGGCCTGATCCAGCAGGTTCTTCTTAAGAGAAATACAAGGAATGGAAGGAGGGTTGGGGAACCTTTGGCCCTCCATATCCAGCCCCCATTGTCTCCATTGGCCGTACTGTTTGGGCCTCATTGGCAGTCCAAAGATACACCTGGACAGCTGTGGCTTCTCCCCCCTGGGCTGTTTTTATCCAGCTGTGCCACAGCGCGTCTCTCACAACTGCAGGGCATGCACTGTGAGACTCTCTTGCCTAACCAGCCAACTTTCCACCGTTGGCGGTCCCCATCGCTGCTCCCCAGGTGACGGCGTACGAAGAGACCAGCCGCGACGGCCCGCTTCCGCGTCTCCTGCACACGGCCAACAGCTCCAAGGTGGACTTTGTCATGCGTGGGGTCGCTCCTCGGGGCAACCGCTCTCGCTTTGCGCTGGAGATCGTCACTGTGGAGGAGAGAGGCGGGCAGAAGCAGCTGGAATCCACCCGCTCGATCGACGACGAGTATACGCCAACCATATTCGAGGTAATCCCGCTGCTGGGGTATGAAACGTGCAGAAAGGGTGCCTCTGAAACGCGTGCAGAGTGTCATTTCCTAGCCACGCTTAGCTCCAAGTAATGAGGTTAGGAAAAGGGGCTTCTGGCTTAAGAGGGTACCAGGGAGGGAGGTATTAGCCCTAAAATCCCAAACTGAGGTTGGATGGCCGTCGGCCAGGGATTCCTTAGCTGTGATTCCTGCATCGCAGGGCGTTGGGACTAGAGGGCTCTTGGGTCCCTTCTACCTCTATGATTTCTCTTGCCTGGAAATTATTTATTTACCGTATTTTTCCATGTATAACATGCCCCCATGTATAAGACGACCCCTATTTTTGGGGACTCCAAATTGAGGATATGGGGGGAGATTGCCCACAGTTGTTGAGCTTTGGGGGGGGGGTGTATTGCCAACAATCGCTCACCCGCCTGACTGCCACTGCCAATCCCACGCATCGATGAAGCCACCAATCATCTGCCCGCTCGCCACCAGCAGCTGCCAATCACCCGCCCAAATGCCGCAGCAGCAAATTGCCAGCAGACCTTGCCGCAGCCACCAATCACCAGACCAAACGCCGCTGACAATGTCCTGCTAGTGGCAGCCACCAATTTCCCGTCCCACCTCAGCACTATCCGTTTATAAGATGACCCCCAATTTTTAGCATTTTTTATAATAAAAAAACCCTCGTCTTATACACAGAAAAATACGGTACATAAATAGACCACCATTTCCTACAAGGATCTCAGGGTGGCATACAGGCTCCTTCTGCTTCATTCTGTTGTTACAACAGTTCTGTGAGGTAGGTTAGAGAGAGACAGACAGACAGACAGACAGACACAAACAGAGTGAGCAATTGCCCCAAGTTGACTAACTATTATTAGTAGTAGTAATAGTAGTACCCTGCCTATCTGACTCGGTTGCCCCAGTGGTATCATTACACTTTAAATCAGGAGTAGGCAACCTAAGGCTCGGGGACCAGATGCGGCCCAATTGCCGCCTCAGTCCAGCCCACAGACGGTCCAGGAATCAGTGTGTTTTTTACATGAGTAGAACGCGTCCTTTTATTTAAAATGCATCTCTGGGTTATTTGTGGGGCACAGGAATTCGTTCATTCCCCCCCCCCTTTCAAAATATAGTCCAGCCCACCACATGGTCTGAGGGACGGCGGACCGACCCACGGCTGAAAAAGGTTGCTTCCCCTTGCTTTAAATGTATGGTGTGAATGTGGCCCTAATTTCACAACTGCCTGCTTTTCCTTTCCTTGGAACAGATGGCCCAGCTGGTTTCTGTCCCCCGCAACGACAGCGCTGGGTTCAGCTTCCTCCAATGGAAGACGGCAGCGTACAGTGCCTTGCAGCCCAAGCGGGAAGACACTGTCCACTGCGAGTATTACCAGCTGGAGACGGAGAATCGCACGGTTCCTCGGCCTAGCATAGCCCACGCCTACTTTGGGGAAGAGCTGGAGGTCCACAATGGCGTGGCCGCCATCAACATCTCCTTTGGCAGCGAGGACAGCGAGGCCTACCAAGAAAAGAGCTACCTGAGCTGGTGAGAAGCGGTCTTGGGGGGCTAGGTTTCTTTTCCCTGCGTAAAAAAGGGTGTGGAAAAGGAGGCCCCTCTTAACCCCTACGCCACACGGACAGTGGATGGAGAAGCAAGTCCATAAGTTGAGGTAAAGGTAAAGGGACCCCTGCCCATTAGGTCCAGTCATGGACGACTCTGGGGTTGCGGCGCTTATCTTGCCTTACTGGCCGAGGGAGCCGGCGTTTGTCCACAGACAGTTTTTCCAGGTCATGTGGCCAGCATGACTAAGCCGCTTCTGGCGAACCAGAGCAGCGCACGGAAATGCCGTTTACCTTCCCGCCGCAGTGGTACCTATTTATCTACTTGCACTTTGATGTGCTTTCAAACTGCTAGGTTGGCAGGAGCAGGGGCCGAGCAACGGGAGCTCACCCCGTCACGGGGATTCGAACCGCCAACCTTCCGATCAGCAAGCCCTGGGCTCTGTGGTTTAACCCACAGCGCCACCCGCGTCCCATATAAGTTGAGGTATTGGCTAACAATTTCTCTTCTCTCCCCCCACCCCTCCTGTCACCCCTTCCAGGTCTGCGTTGATTGGCTTCGGCAAGCCCCCCAAGGACGGGTTCTCCCCCCTCGTGATCGCAATTCTCGCAGTGGGGCTGGGGACTCCAGTGCTGCTCCTGGTGGGGGGCAGCATCACTGTCCTCGTCTCTCGGAAGAAGCCCTATTCAGAGTACGAACCCATCAACTGATTGTTGTCAGTGGACAGTTGCCCTCAGCGGCTTGGCCAAACTGGCTTCTGGTAGCTTAATTCCAGAGGCGTTTCATGCAGCTGTTTCTGGGGAATGTTTCTTCTGTTTCCTTCAGGGGGACGTCTCAGTGGCTTAATTTATCTCCTGGTGAAGATGCTCTGGTCTGCTTACTATGTTTGGCTACCCTCAGTAGATGGATGGTGCTACCTGGTGGGGTCACTTGCATTGTCCCCCACCTGTATTCTCTTGTGGAGGGAGGAGGGATGTGCGTTTCAATAGTTTGGCTGCTTATCAGGATCACTCCCCAGAAGTTTTCCTTCCTACCACTTGAAATTACTGTCACTTGGAAGACTCTACCGTGATATGTGCAGTTCTCACTATTCCAGAGGCACAGGGGTGTTTACAATGGGACAGGGAATGTGTGGACCATTAGACATACTTTGACTCCAGCTGCTGTCGTCATCCCTGACCAAGGGCTGCTGGGAGTTGGAGTCTGTCAGCATCTCGAGGGCTGCAAGTTCCCGGTCCCTGGTTTACGGTGCCCATTCCCCAAAGCGGGTTCTGTAGTTTTTCTTTCGCTGGGTGACGCTGGAGAGGCTGAATTGTCTTTTCATTTCCCCCGCCAAACACCCTGTGATAAGCTTTGGGGAGGGGTAGTATTTTGGGTCCTCAGTTTCCTCAGACATTCACTTTCTTACCCTCTCAAAAAGATAACGGCGTCTTTGCACTGCATTGCATCATCAACAATCTCTTGACCAGACATCTTCCCAAAGATACGTTCTGCCTTTCATTTTTTTAAAAAAAGCATTGTCTTGTTTTCAACGGGTTACATTTACAAAGTACTGTTTTTTTTAAAAAAAAATTGCTGAAATGCCTCCTACAGTTGCCAACTTCTTTTCCAATTGAGGCTCCTCTGTATTATTTTTTTAAAGGGAACAAAGCTTTCCCCTGGTGGAGCCCTTCCGAGATGGTGGAAGCTGCAGCTGTTTCCCTTGCTGTGCAATATAATGATGGTGGTGATGATTTGAACAGCTATATCCTTTGGTTCTCTCTCTCTCCGTGATACAGCTGTCAAATGTGGGAAGGGAAGCTGGCAACCCGTTTGTCTTTCCCCCCCACAAAAAGGGTAAGCCACTGTTGTTGTGTTTACAGGCTAACGGCCATGAAACAAAGGACAAATTGCACTATTGACTGTTAAGTAACGCACCTTTTTCTTATTCTGGAAGTTAGGGTCAGAAAACCAGGACACCCCAAAATTGTTGAGCTTTTTTAAAAAAGGAAATCTCCGAAATTGTTGAGGTCAATTGTCAGAGGGCTGCTTGAAGAGCCAGTTTGGAAGCTCTCGTCTGAAGCGAGAAGGGCTTCCATTTGAGCTGCGTGGACATCTTTTGGTGTTGGTAAGGGGAAACCAATTCTGATTCCTTCTTTGGTGTGAAGCAGCACAGCACAGCCTAAGGGAAATCTCCCCAACCTGGTGCCTTCTGGATGTTGTTCAACCCAGCCAGCACGGCCAATACTCAGGGATGATGGGAAATGTAGTTCAGCATTATCTGAAGGGCAGCAGGTTGGGGAAGGTAGGTCATGGGGAGGTTTCATTTGCAGAGGTTGTCGGGGAGTTTATGTGCATTTCCAGCTGCCACTTGTCTCTTTTGGACCAATTAAAGATTATTTTGTTTTGGAATTGGTTTTGTGTGGTTTCTGTAGGCTAATGCCTCTTCCTTTCGGAGCTAAATTTAGGGAGGTAAAGAATCGCTTTTTAATTTTCAATATTAGTATGTGGTCGTTTTTTAAACCCTTTCTGTTTAAGGAAAGGTCAAAGGTCAGCCGCCTATTCATCTTTTGTTGTGTTTCCATAGAGTGACTGTGTGAAACAGTGGAATCTACATGTTTTTCACTTCTGCCATTACTGTTCCTGGTTTTGCAATCCTCTGGCTGGCTTCCTGCCACCCGCCTCTGCAAACTGCCAATCCCACTTCCTGTGCTCTTCTAGGGCCTGCATGGGATTGTGCAATGCAGGCAGCACTGATAACAGGCATCCTCCTAAGCCTGAGTTCTTCCTGGATCTTCCTCGTCCTCATCGCTGGTCTCTCTTTCAGGTAGCCTGCTTCTGTTGCCATTTCTCCACCCTGCTTGCTCTCTTGCTCCAGGACAGAAATGGGAATAAGCATGAGGGCAAGAGCAGAGCCTCTTGGCTAGGGCTGCTTTTCTTGCTGTTGTCGAGAAATCACACTAGCAGTAGTATTTGCAAAGATAGCAAATGATCCGCAGAGGCTGGATTATCTTTGCTGTTACAAAGCTATATACAAAACTTAGCTTAGCTTCCTTGCCCTGCTGGTGTCACCCTGAACTGATTCCCCACCCCCCATACAACCATGTCTAAAATCACTTTGGTTTCTTCTGCCTTGGCTGCTGTCATTTATTTATTTCGTAAAATTGATTGTAAAAGGACGCCCTCAAACCAGTTTACAAGAAATAAAATAATAATAAAATTGCCATTAAGAAGAATTAACGAATAATTTAAAACTTCTAGAAAGTTAATAAACTAGAGAATAAAACTCACATCAACTTTCTAAACACTGTATCAGCATAGGCTTGCAGTGAGTCCTATTGTTTATCTCTGTGCTGCATGAAAAAAGTACTTTTTCATCTCTCCTGACATATCCCTTCCTGCCCCCGACACCCAAAAAACACCCGATGAGCAAAAAATAACCCATTACACAGTCACTGCTGCTGTGTAAGCAAATTGGCACTTTTGTGGCGAGCTGTTGGTCACAGACACATGGTGAGCTCTAACACCCTATCCCAGGGGTCTGCAACCCGCAGCTCCGGAGCCGCATGTGGCTCTTTTACACCTTTGCCGCGGCTCCGGGGCGGATACTAGCGAGGGGAGGAGGCGCATTGTGCGCTCCGACACTCCCCACTGTGGCAGGCGCTGTACTGGCTGTGACGTTGCATGGGGGCGGTGTGTGCGTTAGTCACGCACCGTCCTGACGTCACCTTCCCGCCCGCTGTCAGATCGGACATTAAGGTAAGAAACAATATATGCAGTGTTATATTTGTTTTAAATGTCGCAATGGTTTTGCGGCTCCCAGTTGTTTTTTCTTCGGAAACGGGTCCAAGTGACTCTTTTTGTCTTAAAGGTTGCATACCCCTGCCCTATCCCTACTTCTGCTTGCTTCTCATGGGAGCAAAACCAAGCGGTTTCTTTCCAGGGGCACAAACCTTCCAAGTGTGCCCGTTTCCACCAGCAACTGCCTGCTGAAGCATGTTCAGATTTCAACAACCGGTTTAGGAGGGAGCTGTTCTCTCAAGATCTCCAAAGAGTTATTGCAGCGCATATGTCAGGCAATAATAATAATAATAATAATAGTAACACAGAGGTGGTATGCAAGCCTTAGTCAGGAAAACATCATACTTGTACAACACCTCCAAATTAAATGGATATCGCCTCTGCTTCCCAAAAGCAGAAGCTTTCATTGTGCCCACTATGAAACAGAACTGCAGAATTGTAAGAGACCCAAAGGGTCTTCTAGTACAGGCTTCCTCAACCTCAGCCCTCCAGATGTTTTTGGCCTACAACTCCCATGATCCCTAGCTAGCAGGACCAGTGGTCAGAGATGATGGGAATTGTAGTCTCAAAACATCTGGAGGGCCGAGGTTGGGGAAGCCTGGGCTAGTCTAACCACCTGCAATGCAGGAATAGGGTAACTAAGGGTGCTAGCATTTGCTTAAAAATAATATCCTTGGACTTCTGGTCCGCCTGCAGAACAGAATGGCGGTGCGAAACGGGTTGTCTTGTCGACAGACAACCGTTTCGGGCTATTTGGATCTGATGGGGAAGTGCCAGGGCTAGGCGCCCCCCTGAAAAAAAACCCATGGAAGAGTGGGGTCTCGAGGGGATCAGCTGAGTGGGAGAACTCACAACCTCCCTGCGACCCGGCCACAGCTCCCGCAGCAAGTGGTGGTGGTGGGGAGAGAAGCATTTGCTTAAAAAGAATATCCTTCATGATTTAACTATGATTAACTATGCAATGGCATAATTGTGACCAGTACAATACACACACAAATAGAAAATGATAATAAATAACATGGGTTATGTAATATTCTTAAAATATACTAGTGCCCTCAATGAAAAGTATATCATCCAAAAATAGAGAAATTGCATTATTACTCCTATATAGATGATATTACATGCCTGCCCGGTTGCAAAGTGAATTTACCAGCCGCTTGCTGGAGAGGATTTAAGGGACGGGGAGGATGTTGCCATATGGGGTGGCAATGCCTAGCAGCACAAGATTTATGGGGAAAGGTCCTAGCTCCTCCATAGCACCAGTTATCCCTCCAGACCCAGGTTTAGCATTGCCATCACTTCCCCCCACCTGAGAAAACTCTGCAAAATATGTTATATAAGGACCTAATGATCCACCTAGTAACAGCAACTAGGTTGGAATTTGTCTGGCATTGGAGACAGCATTCCCACTTCACCTTGAAGGTTAGCAGCTATAGAAAAAGTCACGTCACCAACATGAGCAGTTTGGAAAGCTCTGGCTTAGGAAAAACAAATGGTTTTTAAAATGAGATTTATCACAGCATGAGTCAAAGACAAGTGTTTCACAAACAACTGGGCCTCCTTTAAAGGCCTTCACATTCCGAGATGGAGGTTTGGAGCAGCTGTATCTCTAGAGCACACAGTCCATGTACATCATCAACAGCAGCCTCAAAAGGATCTCGGAAGCCTCTGCAGAGGTGTTGCCACTTGCTGGAGGGAGCCTCCTGGGACGCGGGTGGCGCTGCGGGTTAAACCACAGAGCCTAGGACTTGCCAATCAGAAGGTCAGTGGTTCGAATCCCTGCGACGGGGTGAGCTCCCGTTGCCCGGTCCCTGCTCCTGCTAACCTAGCAGTTCGAAAGCACATCAAAGTGCAAGTAGATAAATACGTACCACTCCAGCGGGAAGGTAAACGGTGTTTCCATGCGCTGCTCTGGTTCGCCAGAAGTGGCTTAGTCATGCCGGCCACATGGCCCGGAAGCTGTACGCCAGCTCCCTCGGCCAATAAAGCAAGATGAGCACCGCAACCCCAGAGTCAACCACGATGGGACCTAATGGTCAGGGGCCCCTTTACCTTTACCTATGCAAGAGAAGCATCCTGGAAGGAGAGGCGGCTCCTGGCTGCCACTGGGTGCAGCATCTCATAAATCCAAGACATAGGAAGAGCCCTGCTAGATCAGGCTAACAGCCCAAGTAGCCCAGCATCCAGTTCTGACAGCGACCAACCAGGTGTCCCCAACGGGACCTTAGTACCCTCTCCTGTAGCCTCCAGCAACTGGTACCTTGAGGGCAGTTGAAGAGGCAATCAAGTCCCCGCTGACCAATGTTTAACTGAAGGGTTGACAGGTCAGGAACGTCCCAGATCCTGAGACTTCAAGACTCAAACCTGAGACCAAGGGGTGGCCCCTGTCATGGGGGAAGCCCCTGTGGTTCTTCCTCTGCATTTCCTCCTGTCACTGAACCCTGGAGACGGAGGTTGATTGGGAGAGAGGAGGCAGGAGTAAAGGTTGGAGAGCCCCTTTCCCAAGAGTCTGTGCAATAACTGGCAGAGACGGAGGTTAATTGGGAGAGGGGAGGGAAAGGGTAGACCACCACCCCATAGTGTCTGTGCAATAATTTGCAGCCAGGTCCTGCTGGGCTGAAGCTTGCTATCTGCATGCACAGTCCCCCTTTTTATGCTTTTTTATTAATTGCACTCTTGTTCACTTGGAGATCCAAGCCTTCCCTCTGCCACTTAGCGGGGTTCAGGCAAACCTGGAGACTTCAGACCAGTCTTGGAGATCCAGTAACCCAATTCTATTCTACCTCTGGCTTTGGCTTTGGCTAGCTTTGGACTGGGACACTGATCTCTCTGACCAGGCAAACTTCGCAGCCCAAATTTTTGTTGGCTGGAAGCATGCCTCATATCCAGGTTTTCCTATGAATCTATGTGCCCGTTGGGCCATCTGACAAGGAATCAATGGATTCAAATGACAAGAAAGGAAACACCAAACATCAAGAACAACTTTCTGGTGGCAAGAGCTATTTAGCAGCTTAATGGACTTCCTCGGAAGGTGGCAAACTCTCTTTCCCTGGAGGATTTTAAGAAGTCGGATGGGCATCTGCCAGGGGTTCTTTAGCTGTGGTTCCTGCATTTCAGGGGGTTGGACTAGATGACTCTTGGGGTCCCTTTCAATGCTACAATTATATGGTTCTATGTAGTGTCCATTTCCTGCACAGCCTGGCCCTACCACAACCATTTCTGGGTAACTCTGATTTCCTCCTATTCCAGGAGATGATGACCTACAAACAGAACTTCTTTTCTTTAAAAGAATGTTTAGGGGTCCTCTCATTTTGACTCAAGAAAATCACCATTTTATAATTCAAATCGGGGAAAATAAATACAGTAAATGGACAAAAGTACAAAGATTCACAAAATGTTTAGGGGTATGCGTACCCCTGCATCCCCCCAGAAAAAAGCACTGCCTACAAACGTCCCTGCCTTCAGACTTCTCACACAATAAGGCTCCCTGCACTTCAGAGTTCAACTTTGCAGCTGGTCTAGAATAAGCTTGAATACTACAGGATACAATTTGGCCCCCGTTTTGAGGATAAAGCGGACTCACAAGTAATGGGGAAGAGGGCTCCTTGCCC